TACCCATACCCGACGATCATGGAGACCTAGCCTGTGTGGAGTAGGAAATCCCCAAGTCGATCGTTACGTTCGTGATCCTGAAGGATGGATGTTAAAGCACACTTGATAGAGCTTAAGAAAAACGTCATATATATATACACATACATATATACACATAACTACATTATATATATAGTTGACTTGGTTTGGAGCAACAACTGTGCTCGCTGCGACCGTATGGCTTATGATGACCGTGGTCCATCGATCTCGTTTCGTTTCCTGATGTTTAAAAATCAAAACTCAGGTTTGGAGGATGCATCTTCCGAGCTTCAGGCATAACATCTGGCAAGCTTTGCAAGTCTGATAGCCATTACATTTGAGATGGGTTGAATCTCGCAAGAGTAAGAAAACAAGAATCAAGCAAACAGCAGCAACTCAGGGTTGATATGGGTTGACTCATATGTTGAAATTATCATTGTTGAGCTGTGCCCCCTGCATCCCCTGCTCATCTCGGCACCGCAGGCAGAGCAGGAGCAGAACTTGCGACTTCGCAGTAGGCTCAGGAGATGCTGATGGCCTTAAGTCCATTCTGAATCATTCTGATATATATGGGGTTTCCTAAAAATGGGGATACCCCCAAACCTATTGGGGTACCCACATTAATGGATACCTCCATTTTGATGCCCTTGGTAGGTGGGAACCTGATACAAGTAGCTAGCAGAGTTTGCTAGACGCTGTTTGGAAGTAGCGGTATCCCAAGTGCTGGGGCTTGAATTGGCTTGATTATATCGCTATTGTCCATAGATGGAGGTAAAAACTAGAGCGAACATGAATTAGCAATTATAGCAGGGTCCAAGAATGATAAGTTCATTTTAAATATTAAAAGTTTCTATTTCCAGCGCCGATGCAAGTTGATCAATCCCCATTTTCCAAAATGGCAAGATTTGTTTATTTGCTCGGTGTTGTGATACTGTATATCCCACTTGAGATGATTATAAATTCATATAAATTCCATTTGACATGTTTGTAGCATGAAGTCAGGATACCAGACTGGTTCCAAACATGTGGTGCATAATTTTGGTTTGTTGGCTTGTTTGCAAATGTTGATTGTGTTATATTGTGTTTATGGCCATGTTTTCAGGCCCTCCTTGAAACCCTGGAGTTGAAAGCTTCAGTCACGCTTGGGTGTTTGAGCCTGCCTTTTGGGCCCAAGCTTGCTTTTTGAGTCAGAGTCTGGCCATTGGGCCTGAGGGCATGGCAACTGGTCATGTCCATCAGCCCATGGCGGTGGGGTGGCATTTGCAATGGCACAAGAATGTGCAGTATGTATCAGTATGTAGGTACACACATACAGGTTAGTTTGCATGACGATTACACTTTATAGTTTGTTATTATATGTTGGTTTTATTACTACAGTATTTGTTGCTATGGTATGCTATTGTTATGTTTTTTTTTGTGCGCACGCATTGTTTTTTTCTTATAACTGTATACTTGCATATTTTTGACAATTAGATGCTGATCTATTTGCTGGTTTGTCTATATTAGATTTGTTTAGCCGTTTGGCCCTCGAAATTATACACGTTTTCTTTCTGCAAGCTTGTGTGTAGATATGTGGATACATATGGCCGCATTTATGCCAGCTGTTTCTCTTTCATGTATCAATATCATTCACTGGGCCTCCTTCCTCTGCAAGGGTTAGAAGTTGTTTGGAGAAGCAGGGGGCCAAGCAGTTCAGCAAGTGTGCCTCAATGTGTCTATTTCAGATTCTCTCTCTGGGTTGGTGGTTTTGATATTACCAGTAGAGCTCACAGTGTTCTTCGTAATGGTTAAAGCTACTACCCAGCCTACTTTGTCGGCTCAAAGGCCCAGGAAACAGTTTGATATAAATTGACACATTGATGTTCAAAGCTTTGCCCTTGGCCAAAGGGTGCCATTCGCGTAGAAGCCTTGGCGAGTACGGGCAAAACACATTGGAAAGTCTTAGAAGGTATGAGGTACAATCACCTTGGAGTAGAATAGATTTCCATCCTTTGGCAATTTCCCAAACAGTGCGCAAGTTTTCCAATTTCTACGTGCTGTAGAATTCAGGGCTTGTCATATTCTTGTCACATTTGAACTGCTCGCGATGGGCGTAGGATCTTTGGATGCATCGGATGCATCGACGAATCCGTCCCAAAAGGTGCACTTGTCCATCCATCGATGAATCCACCCATCCACTCGTCCATGCACTTCCCTACCCATCCCTTAGGGATCAAACATCAGAAGAATTTCTCTTGCTTGGCATCATCATGCATCATCATTACCACAGCTTATCCCCCCGTTTGTTTGTCTGATTTTCTGCCCCTTCTCCTCTTCAACACTTCCCCCACCACCACCACCACCACCACCAACATCACCATTATCACCACCACCAGTGTCATCGTTATCGTCGTCATCCTTATCATCATCAGTATCATCCACATCACCATCCTCATTGTCATCGTCATGATCCTGATCATGAACATTATTATATATTATTATGAACATTGTGATGAACATGTGATAAAGCATGTTGTCATCGTGTGGGCCTCTGGTTTATGGGAACGTCCACGAAAATTTCGCAAGCGCCACCCTGCCGCAGTGCCACGGCGTTGCACCGTGTGGGTTCCCGCTGCCATGGCACGCACAGAACCGGAATTCTTGCTTTTGAAGGCAGGGGCATGTAGTAATATTGCTTGGCTTCTGAGTCAGCCGACAGACCAACGGTAGGTGAACGGGCTATTTCACAAAAGAAGTCTTGTGCACCCACACATCATAATTTATAATTTAATATTAATGTATATTTACTATATTTGTTATATTTGTATTCTATGTGTGTATAATATATATATATATATACATATATATATATATACATATACGCACATATAGTAAATCAATCTTTTATGTGCTGTACATGCGTTTTTTGAAGCAGGAACTAGTAATTAGCCAATTCTGCACACAATCCCCTTCCCTTGGTTTGAGTAGGCTTGGAGACATCTCACATGTAGGCATCATTTAGCCCTTCCTCTGGGTCTATGTTTGAAGCATTGAAATAGCATCCAGCCTTTGATAATCGGCTATGTTGCCAGATGCCACTAGCAGCTGGAGATATGAATTCTGGCATTGAAGTCGCAGAAAAATCAGTTGGGGTATGATGGTTCTCGTAGTGCATAAAAGAGGTCATGAGCCGATGAACACATAATGAAGTCATCCCATGATAAATAATGATAAATATATTGAATGCATATATGTATATGTATACATATATATGTAAATATATATATATAAATTAAACCCATATAATCCGTATTCAGATTGCTAGCAAGTGACGGGGTCTTTTCCACATCACGATTTCGGAACTCGTCAGATGATCCTGTGCTTGCAGTCGGCATATTCTAGGGGATGAACTAGTCTACTCTTAAAGCATGATATTATAATATATATATAATAATAATAATACTAATAATAATAATCCTAATATTATATATATATAATAATTTATATATAATATAAATTCAGTACTTTGGCTAAAATGCATGGTTCGGCAAGTCTTCGCTGTCCATTCAATCATTTATGGCACACAGTTTGCCACGAAAACCAGTAATGCAACCACAAGCACCCACAGCTTCCGACCCGTACAGGTGCTGCCCCCAGACGACGGGCCCATAGACCCAGGCCAGCTCCCTAGAACCGCCTAGAGCCGCCTCACAGGGATCGAGCCCCTTAAAGGTGTCTCAAGAATTGGTCCAAAAAATGGGGTTGTGTTTGTTGGGCAGTTGGGAATAAAAACATGACTTGGAACCATGTGATGTCCATTGTGTTTTGGTGTTTATTTTGTACCTTTCTTTTGCGGTAGGGAGCGCCCGGGGCAGGTTATTCAGGATCATGGACTGTTGTTTTCACGCTGCAGTGCTGCCAAACTCTCCCAAAATAATAGGTGGCTAGGGAAACCGTGTGAAACCTGTCCCCTTTGCAAGTGCATCCCATTTTGACATGATACCCAGAAAAACATATAATACATACGATGAACATGCACATAGACAATAGACACAAATATGATCAAAGATGTATATGTATTATAAATGATTCATAAATATATATATACATATAATTATATTTAGATAGGGAGAGAGAGAGAGCCACCAAATACTTCTAAAAATTGGTAAAAGTACTAGATTGATGGATGGGGGTAACCATCATTTTCATGGGTACTTGGAGGGCCTAGGTACCTACTGTACATATATACATACATACAGGCTATGACTGCAACCATTTCTTTCTGAGGGGCCACATCCAAGCAATTTTGGTACACAGCCAAATGAACTTCACGTGGCTCAGGCTCATCGTGATTGGTAAGTTTGCAGTACTGTGCTTCATGTGCGGGCGTTTCTTGCACCTCCAGACATAGATTATACACACATATTTAAAAGATACCAAGGGTGTTTAGAGTTCAGAGCCCAGAGAATTTGCAAAGAAGCGGGTCGCTCTTATTTTTTTCAACTCCTTTTTTTTGGTGTGCCCACTACGCATTCTCTCAAGTAACACTCTCTGCAGCTCAGAAGGTCCGTTGGAGCAATAAGACCCATGTAAAGTGTCAAGTTCTGAAAAATCTGTTCAACAATCTTAAAATGGAAAAGTGCTTGCAGCCAGAAAAAGTGCTGTTTCAAAAAAATATCACATAATTCTGAAAGAGCAATATTTGTGCACGCTTTCGAGGTTCAAGGTATCAATTATTTCTTGTGTTCACCATCGTTGTTGATAAACAATACGTTTTCTCCTGCTGAAATCACCATATACTGTCCACCAGGGATTGAGTCAAACCACAGCTCGCTGAAACAGCATTCCAAGTTTTGCTGATTAAAAACTTGGCTCAATCTCACAATGTTACATCAATGCCTTTAAACCACAAAGAAATACAATTGCACTTTGGTCAAAAAAATGTGTTTCTATGGTTGCTGGTGATTAAGATCAATGTAATTCTCCCCCCCCCAAAAAAAAACATCGCACAAAATCCTGGCTTTCTTGAGGTGAATCCCTGAAACATCACCTCATTTATCTCGTTTTAAATCCATGTGCATGCGCAGATGTTGTTGCCACTTGTCAAGCTGCGTGTTCCCATATTTTCGCATGACATTCACACTTTGGCCATTTGGACAAGTACAATCCTGGCGTTTTGCCAAAGCTTGCTGGCTCAGAGCAACACAGAGGGCCCTCCCGCAGAACTTTTGAGAAAAATGCGTCGGCACGCTGCTGCTCGGTTGCAGCTCTCCAAGATGCAGGTCCTGATTTGGCTGTGTCTGAACATGGAAAATATGAATGGCCGTTGAATGTTGAATGGCGAAAATTGATAATGATTATAAACCATCAAATTTGGGAGTAATAATTCGAAATACCCGTAATGACTCCGTAATGACCCTATGTTCAGACAATCTTATTGGAGGATCCTTCCGCCACAGTCAGTTTGGGTGGCCTCGGATGGTTTCGGGCGAAGCCGAGGCGCTTTGCTTGGCTTTTGCCACCGCCCAGGGCAAGGTCTACTTCTCGGAAGCTTCAGCGAGAAGGGGCAGGGTGTTTGTTGGTGTTTGCCCATCGTCCTTTTGGGGCTGGTGGATTGTTTTTCTATTGAAAGTAATAAGATTTTCAATTGGTTGCTTACAGTGTGGCTGAAGGAGTGTTTGGCCGCATTGATTTTCTGCGGTTGCAAAGGCGATTCTTGGCTTTGTAGGCCTATCTAGACTCAGACCACTTTTTTTCGGTATCGCTGCAGTCCCAGGGCTGAACAGGCTTGGGAATTTGCACACATTTTTTGTGCGATTTGGGAATTCCAAGGAGGTTGAAAAGGTTGCCAGACGCTCGGAGCCTGTGAGTGATTTATATAAATGCGTTTCCCTTGTGACCTGCTAGCACCCGCGCAGGGATGAATGGTATAGAATAGAGACACTATCAGAGCTCAGCAGCCAGAGTTGGTTGATTACTACATGTAACTAAGGTTGGTTTGCAGGCCGTCAGAAACGAGATTGTATTATAAACCAATATAAACCATCCATATCCCCACTCCTTGCAAGGTCAGCCCAGTTCTTTTGGTTCCCACGTTCTCAAGCATTTGGTGGTTACATATGTTACATCAATCCGTGAAAATCCCTGGCTCCTCCAGCACTGTCCATTGAGGAAACTTTCGGCAGCGGCTGGGAGAGCCGATGGACGTCCAGCGAATGGAAGAAGAGCGATGGCACCCAAGGTCAGGAAGGGATTCAGCCAAGGGTTGTGGCTGTTGGGGCCAAAAAGATGGCAAACTTGGGCAGGGAAAACAATATTGATGTCGATTTCCATGATTTCCTGGCTGCACCAGAACACCAATCATAATGGGAAAGGAATGGTTTGTTTCCTTAATCTGTCCAAAGCCCCTCAAGGAATGTCCTAATTCTGTAACCTCACTGAAGAGCCTGGCCGGCAGCCAGCCCCGTCAGGGAGGCCCCGAACCTCCAACCCCTTAAAATCATGTTTTCATATGATGTTTTCCAACTTTGGTTCAAACATAAGCGGGGGATTCATAAATGGCTGCAATGTGCCAATTGACAACATTGTTTTTGGTAATTTCGTTGGCCCTGTGATGGAGCCTTTGAGAATGGCTGAGAAGAGTATGGGCTTTTCATGTGGCGGGATGCTTTATGAGAAAAAACAATGGGAGAGAGAGAGAGAGAGAAGGTAAGAAACGTGAGCAGCCTACCAATTACTTGTCCATCCCGGCCAGGTACCTGGAAGCTGTCAGCCGGCAAATGGTTTAGTGATGAGACCGAAGATCAAGGCATTCAGACCGCAGAGGACTCTCGCTTCTTTGGCCTGTCTGCCGGCTTTGAGTCCTTCAGCAATGCAGGCTCTGGTCCCCCTCACCCGTGGGGGTGGGGGTCGGGGATGTTGATGGTGAGCCTTGACCCAAGGCTCTAGGCATGCTTACACAAGCTTACACATTTGCAATACCCGATCGTGAGGCAGCACACAATTTTGAAACTAATCAATTACGCGTACAATGCGGCACACACACACACAGAGAATTAATAAACCTCCACTTGATGGCTTGGGGGATGGTTTAGACTGCCACTCATTTCAATCTATGTCTCTATGTCTCATAAAATGGAGAAAAAAGGGGTGTTGCCATGCACATAAAAAAGAAATCTCACCTGCCTTCTGTGCGGGGTCGCTTTTCTATAATTTTTGCGAGGCCACATTCTATATAGTTCCACAACACTTGCCAGCACCACTCTTATCAGCCTTGGATGCCTTCTCAATTTGCAGCTCGTTCGGTCTCCACATATTCTCCCACTTCGGGGGTGTCAAACATCACTTTTCTTAAGGTTGGCTAGTGGTTCCCAAAAATGGTGATTTTTCAGGACATGTCATGGGCATACCTTTCATTTCATCCACGACGCTGTGCTGGAGACATGGCTGGAAGGCAAAGATTTGATCATCCAGTATCAGGCCAAGTACGAGAAGGACATCGAGTGTGGAGGTGCCAATCTGTGCCATCTCAGGTCTGTTGATCCCAATGGCCCAAGGATATTGGGAGCCCTGAGGAAATTCATGATAAATGCGCGATATGCACAGTCTGTGCATGTTTGTGAACATTTTGTGTACCTATGTCTAGCTATGTAATTCGTCACCATTGTCCTGTTAGGTTTGTGTTCAATTTCTGAGCACCGTGACTGTGTGCCAGTCGCAAGTCAGAATTCTACGGAATCTAACCCATCACTGCAATTCATCAATATTCCATGCAGCGTAAGTGGGATGGAGAAAATTGATGTTATGGCTTTTTTGTTTGCAATAGCAGATTTTATCCAAAGATTTACCGGGTTGTCTTTTAGTTTTAGTTATATACATATATATATATAATCACACACATATATATATATAATAGTATACCTTTTTTTGTTCGTGATATAGCTGATTTTATCAGAAGGTTTATGTTTTTTTTAGCCATGATCCAGCAGATTTGATGCACCTCCTCGTGGGGTCAGGCGGCTATGTGAAGATTGGGCCAAAGCTGTCGGAGCCAACCACCTTCGGGGATCCCACACCTTACAACATCATGTTTGGTCCTGACAAGTGTGGCTACACCAAGCGTTTCTTGGAGAAAGTCGGAGAAAGGATGAATCAGCAGGGCTTGATTGATGGAGGACTCAGCAGGATTTTATAATTTGCCGTCATCCGTGGTCCATTGTCCATTGTCCGACCTTTGTGACGATGTGTTCTCCCATACGGCGTTGTAAAGGCTTTCAAACAAACTACATAAAACTACCATATCTGATCATATCTGTTTATTTGATCATTCTGATATCTTGTGAACGATGTGAACGGGGCAGGATGACATGGACTCTTTGGTTCCTGAATTTCTGCATCAACTGATTTGATGTGTGTATTCAATTTGCCCTTTTCATCACTGTATCATACGACTGTATCCTTAAATCAAGCGCATTGAAGCCGAGGAACTCATTTGATCTTCAACTACAAGGGTAAGAACGTCCTGAAAAAGTCGGATTTGGCCTACAAGCAAGAAGGTGATGGCACCTCGCACGTCTATCGCCTGATCCTGAAGCCCGACAACACGGCCCGAGTGGAAGTGGATGGAGAGAAGATCTACGAAGGATCTTTGAAGGAGGAGATCCTGGTCAGGGTGGGATGGGAGCCAGTGAAAAATGGGGAGTTCACCTATCAAAAACATATCTAGATGATAAAGATAATCCAAGGAGTTGATGTGTTGTTTGGTGGCTTGAACATGTTTGAAATGGTTCCGGGTTCTGAGGCAGAATCTAAGATACATAGACCCACAGATTTAGAATGAATTGAATTATTTATTAGGATATTTTTTTGGGTGAGCAATCCTCCGGCTTTGGGGTGGCCAATTGTGAGCCATATTGCCATATAAGAGGGTCATCAGGATCCGGTGCATCTGTATGCCTTGCGTTTCCTTCACTAGAAATGATGGTTAGCAAGACCAGGCATCCAGGAAACTGGAAACATGTTACTATCAGATAGTAAGCAAGAGAGGCCATCCAAAAAATGCCTTATCTACCCTATGGTAGATATGGTAGTTTGACATAGCTATTGAACATGGCATATAGTTATAGTACATAGTTGATTTTGCTATTAAAAACTGATTTTCCATTGTAAACTGTTAGTTTACCAGAGGGTACCTTACTATATTTCAGGCTGGTGAAGTTCTGTCACATTCAGCCAGGTTTAACGGGCCAGGACTGGGAGCTGCTTGCACCTAAGGAGATCAAGGATCCTGAGGAGCTGGGATTTCGGGGGATGGTGGGTATTCTGATCGAAGATGTTTCCGCCATGTGGATGTTTAGACAGCATGTGCTTTGTACTAAATGTGTTTCCCCACCTGCCAGGTGAGGGTCTCTAGATTTTATCAAAGGTGCAACTCCTTCCTTCCTTTCCTTTCCGTCCTCGTCCGTGTGCCTGCTCGTGGTCTCTGTGGGCACAAAGTCAAACCCCCAGCTCTCGCCACAAAAACTCACGCACGGAAAGGAGACCTATCGCAAGCTCGTCCGGGCACACGCAGGCCCGAACCCTATCGCGAGCTCCAGCTCAGTCTGGGCACGCACGGACCAGAACACATCCAAGCTGCAAGATAGAACTTCAGATAGGACGTGAGAATCAGTAGATGCCGGAAAGAATGCCAAAATAGATGTCAAATAGAATGTTTGAAATAATGCCTGATAATATCAATAAAATGACAAAATATATGCCAGATAGAATGTCAGTGTCAGATAGGATGCCGGATAAAAAATCAGAATATATGCCGGATGGAATGTCATAGTATATGCCGGCTAGAATGCCAGCCCAAGTGCCAGAAAGAATGTTAGATAACGTCAGACAAAAAGAACATGTCAGATAGAATGCAAAAACACATGAAGGAATATATATATAAATACCAGGTAGAATGCCAGATGGAATGTGAATATGTGTCAGATAGAATGTCAGATCAGCCGCGAGATAGAATGCCGGGAAGAATGCCAGAATATATGCCAGATGGGAAGTCATAGTATATGGCAGCTAGAATGCCAGCTCAAGTTCAAAAAAAAAATGTCAGATAAAACGTCAGACAGGATGCCAGATAAAATGCCAGGTAGAAAACATTTTTTGCCAGGTAGAATGCCAGAGAGAATGCCAAATACATATATATATGATTATATATGTGTATAATTTGAATATCTATCTATCGATCTATCTATCGATCTATCGATCTATCGATCTATCTATCTTATCTATCTTATCTATCTTATCTATCTTATCTATCTATCTATCTATCTATCTATCTATCTATCTATCTATCTTATCTATCTTATCTATCTTATCTATCTTATCTATCTTATCTATCTTATCTATCTTATCTATCTTATCTATTTTATCTATCTTATCTATCTTATCTATCTTATCTATCTTATCTATCTTATCTATCTTATCTATCTTATCTATCTTATCTATCTTATCTATCGTATCTATCTTATCTATCTTATCTATCTTATCTATCTTATCTATCTTATCTATCTTATCTATCTTATCTATCTTATCAATCTTATCTATCTTATCCATCTTATCCATCTTATCTATCTTATCTATCTTATCTATCTTATCTATCTTATCTATCTTATCTATCTTATCTATCTTATCTATCTTATCTATCTTATCTATCTAATCTATCTAATCTATCTAATCTATCTAATCTATCTAATCTATCCAATCTATCTAATCTATCTAATCTATCTAATCTATCTAATCTATCTAATCTATCTAATCTATCTAATCTATCTACTCTATCTAATCTATCTAATCTATCTAATCTATCTAATCTATCTAATCTATCTAATCTATCTAATCTATCTAATCTATCTAATCTATCCAATCTATCCAATCTATCCAATCTATCCAATCTATCCAATCTATCCAATCTATCCTATCTATCCTATCTATCCTATCTATCCTATCTATCCTATCTATCCTATCTATCCTATCTATCCTATCTATCCTATCTATCCTATCTATCCTATCTATCCTATCTATCTATCTATCTATCTATCTATCTATCTATCTATCTATCTATCTATCTATCTATCCTATCTATCTATCTATCTATCTATCTATCTGTTTATAGTATGTTAATATCAAATAGAATGCTAGATAGAATGTCGCAATATGTGTCAAATAGAATGTCAGACTGTCAGAATACATGTCAGAATTTATTTCAGAGAGAATGTCACAATACATGTCCGATTGGTCGGAGCCACTGGAAGCATACTTATTTTTTTAGACATGTTTTGCTCTTTTGGGACTATAAGTCGATCAACATGACATGCCCGAGGACAAGAAGCCCAGCGACTGGGTGGATGACTCGATGATGGATGATCCGGACGATAAGAAACCAGAGAACTGGGTGGAGGAGAAACGCATCGTGGACGAAAAGGTGACTGGGTTGCGGTTGATGGGCCTGGTTTCCAAGGGGGTTGCCCATTGGGGGTTGGACCTTGATTTAGGAATTGATGATGGTTAGTTATGTTGGTTGTTTTTGGTCCAAGCATAATGGAATCCATGTATATCCATGTGGTGTACGGTATACCCGATGTATAGTTTGGAAGGTTGACAATGCAAAAAAAAGAATACGATGATGTCTACCATTGGTCTTGCATGCCATTGCATGACATCACCATGCAGCACCTCACAGTATTGGGCCCCAGTAAATTTCACTTCAAGATCACCGTACTATCATTTAGAAGTGATAATGATAGATAGGCACAACATATATCAAAATTGTTCGGCAAACCAAATCCCTTTTAACATCATTTGCTACAATATATTTATATAGTTATATATATATATAATGTAGAAAAACAAACATAATTTCCAGGAACGTTGCATTTTCATGTTTATATCAGGGTGCATGCATTTTCATGTTTGGGGAAAAAATCGATTGCGACTTCCAAGGCTAAGAAACCCGATGACTGGGATGATGAAGAGGATGGTGAATGGGAAGCGCCTATGATCGACAACCCTGAGTACAAGGGTACCCCCAGCCTTTTTTTGACATTTTTTGCGGATGGCCACATTGGCCATTGGCCAGGTGATTTTGTTCGAGTCATGTGAGCCTATGTGACTTTGAAAGAAACTTTTTTTTGACTCCCAACTCAAAATAGTTTCCTTTGCCATACAAAGACAGGTTTTAGGTCTTCGGGTCATTTCATCCGCATCCCCACATATTTCTTTGCTTCTCCCAGCTCCGTAGCCAGGTGAATGGACTGTGAAGCGAATCTCCAACCCTGCCTACAAGGGCACGTGGGAGGCCAAGAAGATTGCGAACCCTGAGTTTGTGGATGATGACAACTTGCACCTTGTCAAAATTCAGCTGGAAATGCTGACCATTGACCATTGGCCACGGAAGGCTTCAAAGTGGGTCAACGTTCTGGTCCATTCAGGTTCGTTCCAGATCAGGGATGTGGTAAAGTCTCAGATGTTGAGTAGTGATATTGACAAACTTGAGTTGCAACAGGTAGATGCTGAAGTGTTTGTGTGCGTGATAGTTTGTCGTTCGCGAGCAGGACAGCTTCAACAAGCAGTTCCACAATTACGTGTTCACGTGTGTTTACCATTGCGCACCTTTTCGTGTTGAAAATGCTTTGCCAATTGAGCAAGAAGCCGAGGTATAAATACGATGACTTTGGATTCATCGGTTTTGACCTGTGGCAGGTGAAGGGCAACACCATTTTTGACAACGTCATCATTACAGAAACTTGGAGATGAGATACATGCAGCAAGAGGGACATTTGAAATTGGAACAGCCAACATAAGTACCATAGAATTGATGTGAAGTGGTCATAATGATGGTCCAAGTCTGGAATGAGAAGTGTAGTAGACACTCCAAGTTACAGTAGGTTTGATATGTTCACAAAAATGACATGTTGATCACGGTGTGCATGTTCAACCATCAAAATTTATTTTGCGTCCAGCTTAATTTCGCTACATTATTTGTTGAACAGTGAAACCTGCTTGAATTTCTCCGGCATATTTCTGGTGATATTGACCGGTACTACTCTAAATGGTTTACATCATTTTCAGATTATGTTGCAGCTTATGATATGTTATGCACCCTTGTTTTTTCAAATGAAAATATGCATGTTTATTTACACATATTTTCTATGGGTTTGGCCGGAAACTGGGGTGGCCCAATATACTTTTCCTTGGGGTGGACTTGGACCATTGGATGTCCAAATAAAATGCTCTTTGGGGAGTTTTCTCCGCGTGTAAACTAGTTTTTCCTGACAAATTAGGTCTTGCAGAGAAGGATAAGAAAAGGAGCAGCCTCTTGATTTTTATTTTATTTACTGTAATTTTATCTGTTATAAATAAATATAAATATGGGTATATATATATATATTTATTTATTTATTTACTATGTAATTATGTATTTATGTATTTATGATGCATATTTTTTGCTCAGACATATCATTCATGCTATATATTTTCAACTTGTCCATCTATCTATGCATCTATGTACTATGTACCAAACTGCTATATTTAGCTATTTGTGTGGCCCATATAGTAACAATGACTCATGAAGTTTGTTCGCCTCAGCCCCCAGGACGATGTCGCGGAGGCCGACAAGTTTCTGCAGAAGTGGAAGACGCTGAGTGACGTTGAGAAGGCCAAGAAGAAGGAAGAGGATGAAACTCTGGAATTATGCAAATGGTTTCTGGGGAGGAATCATCCACAAAATGTTGTTTCTGATTTGGCATTGACATGCATTTGCATATAGTATTTTTTTTCCAGTTGAAACTTCCCGTTAAGCTACCACATTTTGACGAAGAACTGGCTGCTGATTCTAAGGGGGAAGTGATGATTAGATGGCTGTGATCCAGTGGGAATTTGCTTGATATTGGCTATTGGGTTGAATATTGAGAAAGAAAGGGTTCGCAGGTGGGAATACAATCAACCGAATATGCAAAACACGCACTGCTTTTGAACTACACACCTTCAAGTTGACATCGAACCAGGGGGCTGAGACTGAGAAGCAACATCCCGTACATCTGAATTTTCCAAACCCATGGTTTTCCTTCAATTTCCTTTGCCAAGCCATTGGTTTTCTGCATGGTCGACTTCAACGTCCTGCACTCAGGACGCCAAAGCAGAAGAAGCCAAGAAAGCGGCCGATTCGAAGGATGATGACGATGACGACGATGCGGAGGAGGAGTGAGCGTCCATGACTAGCGAATCTCGTCCTCGTGGTTGTTGTTTCTATGAAATAGTGTATAATATGACTGTGTGCTGGAGAGAGAGAGAGAGAGAGAGATACATATATATATATATGTATAATGATATATACATATAATATAATAATAATAGTAATAATAATTATTATAATAATGATAATAATAATAATATATATATGTATGTATAATTAAATATATATACATACACGGTCACACGGTGATAGATGACCATTATATCTTATATTATCTTATATTATCGCATACTATATCTATATCGCTGGTTGACTGCAAAATATGAACAGCTATACTGTAACCCCCGTCATCCAACCCACTTGTTTAGGATTACAACGGGTTTGTGCCAAGTCACTTCACCCATGCCAACACACCCCAAAATTTCAGACCTTCCCACCATGTTTTGACCATTCCGTTGCCAGAATGACACCATTCCCACACCCAAGACCCACGTGTACAAAGATGAGACAACACAAGGTTCCACAGATATCCACCGAGAGAGGAGGAGGAGATGACGCATGGTCAGTCTTTAGGCTAGCCTTTGTGCGGGACTACCTTTAGTGCTCTGACCATTGCTCTGATTTCAACGCAGGGAAGGGAACTGTTGGAGTTGAGATATGACCTTTCACTGCCAACGACGAACAAGTTTCAGCAATTTTTGATCACCTTGCATGTGTTCTCAGATTTTGCCACCATGCCACTCAACACTACACCAACCCATAGAACATTGGATTTACTTCCCTGATCCGTTGCATTTATGGCTGATTTGCAGCCAACCCTGCCGCCGTTCAATGCCGCCGTTCAAGCGTGGCCCTAGTTTTGTTGGCGCCCAAAGACTCGGTGTACAGCCGACCTCGATGAAGCGATTGGAAAACATGTGGCAAAGAGGTGCAGCTGGAGTAATCATATCGCCCATTCATATTAGACACCCTCCAGAACTATGGTTTAACAGGGGATTTATAATACTTAGATATACTTAGACATCTATTTGTATTTGGAACCGTTCAGGGGGTGTTAAATATTTGGGGTGGGATTAAGATTGAAATGGAGCTCCATCATTTGTTGGTGCAAGAAAGCAAGTGATGAAAGAAGGGCAATATAGAGTGTTTATCAAAGTCTTGTCATGGCTTGCAAATGCTGCAGGATCTTATTAGTGAAGATAACAATATGATACGAGTCTTGTTGCGCATGAAGACGTGCAAAGTGCTTGGGCCCGCTTTAATTCCAACTACCCGACTACTTCCTTTTATTTACCGCAGCCGCACGTGCGTTCAGGTGAGCCCCAGGCTGCAGGCGGGGAATTTGATCCGCGCACTTCGGGGCAGGATGATGAGTGGATTTCTTCATATTTCTTGAACATGTGTTGTCATTTGAATGGACCTATCGCTTCAACATGTGTACCGACTGGGTTGCTTGTTTATATTGTTTCAGCGCAAGTGAGGATTGGTCATATTGGTGAAATACAGTTTTACAGCACTGGGTGCCTACCCAAGCTGCAGCTACTAAGTATAATATATATATACACATAAGCGGTTAGGAACCGTAATCATGGTGATCACGGTGCTCATATAATTTCTTCTTGTTGAGTTGTCAACAACGATGGTCACTGACACTGGAATGATTTACTAACATAGTATATATATATATATTCACACACGCATACACACACATACACAATATATATATATATATATATGAGCACTACCTGTGCCATGTATGCATAACATGTCCGACCCGAGCAGGACACACATGCAACCATAAAGGACCATATGTATATATAATTAATTAACGTAATTATACGTATATATATATATTATGATGTAACACACACACACATATATATATATATATTATCATGTAAATATCATCAAAGAAAGTTCAGATAGAAAACTTTCGAGTTACGGACAATGGTCATGGTTAGCATTCACAATATTATGTCAACCACATCATCATGTCAACCATGCATCATCAAGTAGATACGAAGTGTAACAGTCCGGGGGCGTGTCAAATCACGGGTGAAAACAATCTCGGGCGGCAAACCTTGTGTTTTTATAAGCATGGTGGCTCCCGGGGTCGCCGAAGTAGGGTCTGTGTTTCCGTGGGTCCTGGCCTCGATCTGGGAAAGTTGTCGACAAAAAGTGCAGAGGACTGTAGCGAGAGCTCGATTGACACTTCAAATCGCAGAAAAAAACACATGACATGGGACTTCCAGGAGAACACAGACGTCCAAGATGGGAAGTGGCAGGTAATGAGATGGGAAGACGAATTTACCACAGGAGATGGGACGTCCAAGATGGGAAGTTGCAGGTAAATTCCTTTAAATTCCTTTAAGTTCTTTTAAATTCCTTTCAATTCCTTAAAATTCCTTCAAATTTCTTTAGATTCCCTCAAATTCCTTAATAGACGAATTTACCACATGACATGGGACCTCCAATTATCCTTTTATTTTTGTAAATTCCCTTAAATTCCTTTAAATTCTTTACAAGACGAATTTACCAGATGACATGGGACTTCCAATTCCTTCAAATTATTTTTAAATTCTTTTAAATTCTGTGAAATTCCTTCAATTTAAATTCTTACAAAATTCTTTCCAATTCTCAAAAGTCCTTTAAATTCCTTAAAAGACGAATTTACCACATGACATGGGACTTCCAATTCCTTTAAATTCTTTAAAATTCCTTTAAATTCCTTAATAGACGAATTTACCACATGACATGGGACTTCCAATTCCTTGATTTTTTTTTAAATTCCTTTAAATTCCTTTAAATTCTTTTAAGTTCCTTAAAAGACGAATTTACCACATGACATGGGACTTCCAATTCCTTCAAATTCTTGCTGAATAAATTGGGAGTGGCTGGAAATGGGTGGGGAGAAGAAGCCGCTGGGGATGAGCGAGCTTGGCTGCGCGGACGGCTGCGGACGGCGTGGGTCAAGGGAGTGGGTGGAAATGGATGGAAAAAAAAGGCCGCTGGGGATGAGCGAGCTTGGCTGCTAAATAGTTGCTGAATAATTGCTAAATAGCCGCTAAGTAGCTGCTAAATAGCTCCTAAATATTTGCTGAATAACTACTAAATAGGTGCTAAATAGCTGCTAAATAGCTTGGAAATAGCTGCTGAATAGCTGCTAAATAGCTGCTAAATAGTTGCTGAATAACTGCTAAATAGCTGCTAAATAGTTGCTAAATAGCTTCTAAATAGTTGCTGAATAATTACTAAATAGGTGCTAAATAGCTGCTAAGTAGCTGCTGAATAGCTGCTAAATAGCTGCTAAATAGCTGCTAAATAGTTGCTGAATAATTGCTAAGTAGCCGCTAAATAGCCGCAAAATAGCTTCTAAATAGTTGCTGAATAACTACTAAATAGGTGCTAAATAGCTGCTAGGTAGCTGCTAAATAGCTACTAAATAGTTGCTGAATAATTGCTAAATAGCTGCTAAATAGTTGCTAAATAGCTTCTAAATAGATGTTGAATAATTACTAAATAGGTGATAAATAGCTGCTAAGTAGCTGCTGAATAGCTGCTAAATAGCTCCTAAGTAGCTGCTAAATAGTTCCTAAATAGCTGCTAAATAGTTGCTGAATAATTGCTAAATAGCTGCTAAGTAGCTTCTACATGGTTGCTGAATAACTACTAAATAGGTGCTAAATCGCTGCTAAGTAGCTGCTAAATAGCTGCTCAATATCTGCTAAATAGCTGCTAAATAGTTGCTGAATACCTGCTAAATAGCTGCTAAATAGTTGCAAAATAGCTTCAAAATAGTTGCTGATAATTGATAAATTGCTTCTAAACAGCTTCGAAATAGCTGCTAAATAGCGTCTAAATAATTGGTAATAGCTGTTGAATACATGGTAAAGAGCTGCTAAATAGCTTCTGAATAGCCGCTAAATAGTTGCTAAATAGAACAAGGAGGTGAATGGATTCATGTGACTTTGGAATATTCTAACTGCTGACATGACGTATATTTTTGGATTATTCCAACTGCTAGTAGGTAGTCATACGTTCATATACTATCTTTGTTCATGTGGGATGTGAAATGTGCAGTGTGTGAGTTAGTTGACATGACATGTTTTGCATTTTTTTGGATGCAGAGGTCCCAGAGGTCCCATGTCATGTGATTTATTTTTTTCCGAAACACTTTTCAGATGACACGGGACTTATGCAGTTTTTTTTTCCACTTTGCAGATGACATGGGAGTTTGCGTTTTTTTGGGTATGTCCGACAACTCCCATGTCATCTGCAGGTAGTATGATTATCATAAACAGTTATAAACACATATTATTTCATATAAACAAATAGGCGCGCAATCACTGAAGAATATTGAAAAACAAATATATTACTGTAATTCAAAATATGTGAACAATTTCTGTGACAAAAACCAAGACCAAGCGGCGGCTTGGAATGGTCGAAAAAAAAAACGTTTAAGGTACTCCAGAGCGATCCCCTTGCAAAATGGAAGATTGGCAGCGGCGCAGCAACTAGGATTTGCACCAAGAGTTGCTGCTGTTGTTTCTTCTTTTCATTGTTTTTGCATGTTTTTGCCCAGATGTGTTGTTGCCACAATTTGTTTTTTTCCTCCACCTCGACCGAACACAAGGAACCTGAAATTAGGATGTTTGCAGCGCCACCGCGGCAATCAAAGGCGCGCTTGAGCACAGTCACATGTCATCTAGCGAGTCGGCGGCCACCAGCAACACGGACTGATAAGTGGTGGAGAGTTGTCAGTCTGTAGGGAACCTCTCAAAATTTGACTGAAAGGTTTGGAATCAGAAACTCATCAAATTTATTTTAAGGGTGTTGTAAGGTGAAAAATGGAGGGACAGACAGAGGCTTCAGTGCAACCCCATGCAAAACCCAAAGATGCGGTCAGCCATGTCAGTTTTTGGAAATATGTTTTTTGAAGGGTTTTGTAGCTGATATTGTTGGGATCTTCATCAACCACACTGACTCACCTGTCGTAAAACCACACAGCGGCAATACTTCGGGCAATCTGTGGTGTAAAATCCTGAGCCTGGCTTTAGGGCGTTGGATCGTGATTGATTTTTTTTGCAATCAATGTCGTCAGTTCTTGCGCGGTCAATAAACCATTGTTTTTACCACCCATTTACGGTAATAATGGGGATGGCGTGAGCTTGGGTTTACCAAGGCTTTACCACATTCCTTATCACTTTTGGTTCACACGGACATACTCTGCAATTCGGACTTCGGACATTGCCAAGGCAACACAGAGCCGCCAGCGGTCCTTGCTCAAGGACCACCAAGGGCCCAGCCGTCAGGGCATAGTTCCGTTGGTTATTTCTGAGTCAAATTTGGATGCGTACTATATACATCTATAGACCATAGAAGTTATTTTTTTTTACTAATAAATGGGGATAAATGGGGAACAGGCTACCCGGCTTTCAACAAGAAGATGCAGAGTATCCAAAATTGGCCATGGTCTATTTTTTTCGAACTTGAGGTTTATAGTGAAGACGGGGGGCGACGCCGTATTTAGCATGAAGGTTCAGACTGCATGGCGCATTTGGACAACCCTGATGCGCACCAAAAATTTACGACTGAAGCAGGCTTTGGAGGCTTCCGAGGCACAAATCCTGTTCCTATTCTGACAGATGTGAAATAACCATGGTTTATTAATTAGGGGGGTACTCCCCAAATAGTCATAATCTGATACTTAAATGGTATCCCCCCAATTAAACAACTTAGGGGTTTATTAATCCAGGGTTGACATTATATGAGACTGTACGTATTCGCATCTGGTTTTGAAAGTTTATGTGCTTCTGCTTGCGTCCTTCCAGTGATTGGTATACGCCTCACTCCATGGCGTCCCAACGAGTTCAGGTGGTGCGACCTCGCTTACTTCATCTAGCTCTTCCAACCCTCATGGGTAGTTTGCCTCATTCATGATCATTCAGAATAATGTATGACCGTGATTTTGCAATGTGACTGGTGCCTGAACATCAGGACTTCTCCCCAGCGCGGGAAGGGGGATCCCAGAGCGAACAGCCATCGGAAGGACCAAAACCACGGAGCTGGTCCCTATCAATGCTGGAGATAGCCACATGCAACAGATGCGGAAAGACCTCAGTGGCTGCTCGGGTTTGCCATTACTCGGCAGGGTTGTGCGCAGGTGCTACGAAAGGGTATGTGCTGACTGTGCCGACTGTGCATTGCTTCAACTCGCAGTGTGTTTTTTTTTTCAAAACTTGAACCATGATTTGCTAACCATCCTGTATCATCAAACAACCATTAAATTTTGGTCGTTTTGGTTTTCGGCCCGTTTCGGAAAATAATGGTAATTTTGCCCGGTTTGGGCCATTTCTGCGCGATCTCAACTTTTTCTGCCAGGTCTTATTTCCACACGTGGAGTCTCTTGCCACATCACATCAAATCACTCAAACTTCAGCAATTTCTGCCGGTAAAGGTGCAAACACGTCTGTATTGTTATATAAAAAGCAGGTGGTGGCATAAACGTGACAACCCTGAACATCTTCCGATGTGATCTTCGTCTTGCCAACACCCCCAGCCTCAGTCACTGGGCCATGACAAAGAAAATCATCTTAAGATATCTCTAACTGAAAAGCACTTCTATACCCCCTTCTCAAACGTAGAACAGGGCCTCATGAAGAAGAATCTGATCCACTAAGTGTGTTGAAAAGCATCCCAAGAATGGCTACAGCTATGCAGTCAGCAATCAACCTATTGGTGTGTCTGCGAGTGGCTGACCCACTTTGCTAAATCAAAAGAATTTGCCATTTAAACCTAGCTTTGCTGCGATAAAATACATTTTGTCCAAGCACATAAGGGCAGAAATCCTGATTTGCGCCCGTTTGCGGGTTTTTGTGTGCTAATTGCGGGTTTTTGCGCCCGATTTGCGGGGTAGTTTTGGTCCGAAAAAAGTTGAAATTTGACGATTTGCTGTTTTGCGGGGAGTTAGTTGCTGTCCCAAATCTGCGGCGTGAATACGTGAATCATACGTGTTTTACATGACTGCCTTAGGTGTTGTGAATAACGTCAATTAAATAGTTGTATGCGTGAAGTCCCACACGCAGACAAACACACAGCTGTCTCAGATGGTACAGATTTGCGAGCCAGAATACGTGTCATACAGCATTGAAATTTATGCCAATTGGCACCAACTCTGCGAAGAATAAAAGAAAAAAGCAGAGCGGAGGCTCAGGCTTGAAAGCGCAGGCCCCATGGATCCAGTCAAACACGTCAAGGGTCAATCAGTGCTACAAGTGTAGCTATGGTGAAAGAAATTGAAGATATGGGATTGGGACACCATGGAAACACATAGAAAATTAGATTTCAGCCAGATTTCAGCCATTTTGGGTCGTTTGGGTTGAATTGCCCGATCTGACCCAAAATAGGTCAATTGGCTAAAAACAGGGTCACTGACCAAAACAACCTTTTTTTCTGCCCGTTTGCTGGTCCAGGATGTGTCCATGTCTCTTAGAATGTTGATATACGTAGTAATTATATTGTAATTATGGTATGTGGCTCGCACTGGCCAAGGGTTCCTGAAGTCGTTTGCTAAGAGATCTCATTTATAGCCTGAGTAGGTGATTCTGTTTCCCAGAAGAAAAGGCTCCAGAAGGACTTTTGCCTGACCGTGGGCCCAACTATTGGGAGATATACCAATGCCTTTGCTGTCTGCAACTATGAAGGCTGCAGGATTTGGGGACCAAAACAAAGGAGCAAAAGACTAAGTCCTGAGGTTGTTGATTCTACTGCGGGCAATTTTGAACTTGTTGATCCCGCAATAGTTGCATCGTGCGTAAGATACGTAATTTGATGTTCAAGTTCGCAAAACGAACCCAGGACTTCACAAGAGTTGTGGAGTCTCCCATGCCCTCCACGGCTGAACTGAACACACACACACACATCACAATACTGCCTCTTAAGATAATTAAACATCTGAAGGAACAAATAATCGGTATACCGGTATACCCGGTATACATTCATTCAACATCAGTATGATTATATAGTAGATTCATAATTATCAACATCGGTGAAAAGAGGTGAAAAAGTAATTGAACAAAATAAAACATCAGCAACACAATCATCAAAGAAGACGCAAAAAACCTTCTGTAAGATGTATCAAAGAGCTGGAAACCGGGTGCATTTCGAGCCACTTTCCCGCCTCTGTCAAAGGCTCCCAGAGGCATGAAAGAACGAGTTCCAGAGGCTGGGAACTGGGCTGCAACAGGTGAGGGCTGAAAGATGCTGAAAGGCCTCTCTTGATTTTTCTTGCCTGGTTTCTTGCGGAAAACACCTGGTGCATCAATCACCTTGTTTATGTTTTTTTTCCGATTATGGATCATGGATAGTGCAACACCAAGTGATAAACCAGATGAACTGGAGATCTATCGGCAGTGGGCTGAGAGTGGTAGAGTGAGGCAGCAACGATAGGATTTGGCAAACATACAGAATGTTTGGCTCTATATTTTAACAGTAGGTAGTAGGCAATCTAATAGGATTTCTTCGTTGATTGGCTTGAAGTTTGCTGTTGCTTCCGGAATGCAATGATCCATGCTGTCCACGGGAGACTGACTGTGTATGTGTAGTATGTGTTTCACTTTATTTTTGGCAATTTTGTGACATTGGGTGAAGGCGGCAGGTACGCTCACAAGTCCTGAGCGAACAGAAAATCAGATAGCACATGGCACGGGGATGCGTAGGGTAAAGATTCCGTTGCCTATCCGTTCTCGCTGGTCTTCAGCATGGGAGGTGACCTACTGCACGCAGGAAATGGAGCAGCCAATTTCAATTAAAGAGGTGAAAGAGAATGTTGGCTGTGAATATGCTCGAGCCTTGTCTCAACCCTGGCGTAGATCCAAATGTGCATAAGATATTGCTTGTTCTTTTGTCCCTGCACCCTGCATTTGCGCTCACAAATCTGTAAAGACCCCCGAAATGTGGCCTACAGTATAGTATACAACTTGTTGCACATCAATTGTGCATGTCTCTGGGTATTCTCTACTTCTCTCTTTCCTTTCATAATTTTGATGCATAATATACATGCATCGTAAAGGTAAACACGTTTAAACTTTGATAAGGTTGCATTCAACATACGCGGACTGACATGCGCCATTGTCCGTAGTTATTTTGATGTTGATTTAAAATGATTTAAAGATCAACCTTTTCAAGAGAGACCTGGAGCCAAACTTGGGCCATGTGGGCCACCAAAAGAAGCTCATGTCCACGGGAAGCTCTTGTCCTTATCTTGTCCTTCATGCAGTGTTTGTGTAGTTGCCCGCTTGTGGCCGCAACGGGCAATTTGCGGCCCCTCACTATCCACTGGCCAAGGCACTGGCGAATGCAATCGCAAGGCTCTTTGCAAGTCTTGTCACTGCTTGTGCGTCCAAGGGGATGGCGCAACAACACGCAGGCACAAAACGAAGCTCACAAGCAGGCACAAAACGAAGCTCAACTGCAAAGAGGGAGATATCGAGGAACTTCAATGACGTTTCACCCCATGGACTTACAGTATATAGTTGCATAATTAACGGTGCAAGCTCGATCTTGATAGGCCAGCATACTATTGAATCATGCCAACCTATTTCAGAAGCCCCTGGGACAGACACAAAGATCCTGCGGCTTTGCCATCGCCTTTTATCATACAGTATGTTCAAGAGTCAGGACATGGCGACGCAGGGATATGATAGAGCTTTCGTCATTTATATTAATTCATTTATACGTGGCTGATGCAGCGAGTCATAGTGAGTCCCAATTGGCCGAGGCCGAACATAGAAATGAGCCGCAATCTCAGCAGCAATGACAGGCTGAGGGGAATGTGGCGGCGAGGTGATGCCATCGGAGTTCCATTGCAGGAATTGATGGTTGTCTATTATATGTGGGCTATATAGAATTTCATCAGAATGAATTTCATGGTCCGGAGTAGTAACTTAGTAGGATGAACAGCACTCGGGACACTGATGTTTGCCAGTAATAGTTATGGGATCCCAATTGCCACCTGTCACCCGTCAGGCTCCGAAGAGCTCTCGACAGGACCAGGATCCCACCTCGTCGCAAGACTTTTACAAGATCTAAAGCTACTCCTCTGTGAAGCCGGTTGTTGCATCTTTGGGCCCAGGTTACCCAGGTTGGGTTGTATATCGTCTATATACCCGATAGATCCAGATAGGTTCTGTCCTCTTAGCTGCGGGATGTGCGTAGCATTTCAACATATTTCAATCCTTGATCTTCCCATGATGAATCTGATGATATTTCCCCTGATGATCTTTCGTAGTGGAAGTAGCAGGCGGAATGACAGTATATATAGGTCTTGTTACTTCAAAATCTGAGCATGATGAGCATGCTGAATGACTCAAAGCTAAAGGGTGTGGAGACTGAAACTGCATAGGTTCTAAGTGGGGATGGACAGGTTTGTTGTCGTTATTTCTGTGCCATGTTCTTTCTCTTGCTAGTGGCAGTGGTTAGTTTGACGTGCGTTTCTTTTTTCACCTGTCCAAATGGTTCACTTCAATTCACTTCATACACTGACATGCCCCTTTGATCAACTTTGTCCCTTTGTTACAACTTGTCGTGATATATTTCATATATATATATACCATTGGGCTTGCACTGTTTTCACTGAAAGTTTTGGTTGTATTTTGTATGACATTAAAGGCCGGGGGGCTCCTTTAACAACTGAGATCAGCCCACAAGCCATCAATGCAAGTCAAGTCGATATGTGATGATTTGTGCTAAATTGTAGGGGAGGGGCGATGTGTAACCAAGAGTCACCAGCCCACGAATTCCTCAGAAAGAATCCCATTATGTACAGAGTGCATGCTGACGGTGTCCCATTCCCTCCGGCTCGCCAGCTGCCAAGGCGAACTTGCAGTTCTTCACGGAAGAATATGTTCAAGACCGACAACTCAAATGGCAAGAAGTGACGGCTATACCACGGGAACGAAGGATAAAAATCATATCAGAAATCCTCCGGAGTTTACAGTGAGATGTGCTATCCTGCTCACAGTCCGCATGGGGCTTTGACAGCCGACAGATTTTGGTTGTGGCTGGCCCCAACAGGATTTGCAGCGTTTTGATCTTGGAGACCACGTGTCAGGCTTCCTCCGGATGGAGTGCCATGATTTGATACTTATTGCCTCAACCCCCGAGAGAGCTGTGCTTGTGGAAATCGTGAGTTCTCCATGTTTCTAGCCGTCCTACTTGAGAAATTGTTGCTTCTCACTTCTCAGGTTTGTGCTGGTAGCTAGAACCAGAGAATTGTGCGGCGGCATCATTTCCACTCTTGAATCAGGGGCTATACATTTAAACAACTCAAGATGCTTAAGTGTGTAATCTTGAAAATTGTAGCACTATGATAAATGGTTTTATGTTTGTTCAAATGCGACGTCAAGTCGAGCTGTACCAGTGATGATTGGCCAGGGCTTGTCAGTGAATCAGCAGTGTTTCTCCTTTTAAACATTTTACACCTCCAAATCAGTCGAAAGGCTGCGACAGCATCAGTCAGTTTTATCATAGCTGTTTCGCAGCCAGGTTGGTATCAGTTTTTATGTATATATATACATATATATATATGGGTGTGTGTGTGTATATCAACATCTTTGGCTCCATCTATTTGCAACCGAACAATCAAAGCGATCCGTTGTTCCGATGCATTCGGGCTCCGATTTGTCACCACCGAAAGACTGCAGCACAATCATGTGTCCACTGCAACGCAGTTCCTAGCAGATGCGTGGAAAAAAAACTGTACTCGCTCAGAGCTCAACCTTGGACTCATTGTGCAGATATGTGCAGATGTAGCCAGGAGATGTCAAGATATCTCAACCGCCAGGGTGTTCGATCTAAACAAACCAGTCTGGCCAAGGATTGTCAGTATATTGTATATACTTTGATATTCCGGTATGTTGCTATCATTATTTGTTGCTTGTCAACAAAGTGCCAGTTTCATCTTGATTTTGCCTATGATGTAATTGCTTATAGCAATACACATGCACTATATATATATATACATATGCGCACTTATGTGCATATATACATGCAAATACATTGGCATTGGCATAAATACCCCAATGTAGATGCATATATACTGCATAATTAAATGCATGCACATACATTTATATATAGGCATTCCACATTTTTACATGATAAATGAAAATATGTTTATACTGGCATGTGATCATTCATAAATATGTATAACATGTAATGTATGATGTATGTTTGTGCGTGCACATATGTTCAGCCCTTCTCTGTATGACCCAGGACAATTTTTAAAGTTGCTCTTGTTCACCAGATCTGGGCGAGTGGTGTAGCTTTACGGCCGTCAGTTTGCCGTCCACGATGTGCATCAGTGCTGCGTTTGGGACGACCCATTGCATGGGATTTGTGGCTATTAACCACGGGAAAACATAAGGCTTTCAAACCTGGATTCTTCAAAAATCACAGTTAATGTTAAACTTTGCGTTTCATTCCCAGGTTTAAGACTTAGGTCAGCTGCAAGGGATGCTTGCTGAACAAATTTAAATCACAGCACATGATGGTAAGATACGGTAAGTAGGGTTGACGATATACATTCACTTCAGGCGTGAGAATTACAATAATTTGCCCTGGGTTTGATAGGTTCATGATTGTTCCTTATTTTTGGGCAAAAATATGTTGCTGTGGCTACTAGCTCACTACATTTTTTGCAGCATATTTGTAAGGTCAGCGATGTGTGGTCAGGTATGTTCCAAGGAGGTCGGAATAGGCCATGCATCCACAAACCCACTCCGTTGCTTTGAGACAGTGTTGTATGGTCAGCAACGGAGTATTGCGGCCGTAATAAAGTGAAATGTTTATGGAGGAACCATTTATTTTTTAACACCCGTGTTTGGTATTTGCCTATCTTTGTTTATGTTTGTTTCATGACTTGCGCAGATGATAAATCATGTATACATTCATTTTATATGCGTGTTCGTTTTGACCATGTTTATCTTATTTCTTTCAGGAAGGCATGCAGGCACAGCACAAAACACATGTTTTTTTTCAACAACCCCGCAACGAGATCTCTAATATTTTTGTCAAGTTGATTTCTTGCTCACAGAATCTCACATTTTGATACTGGATGCCATTGTCTCTTGCAGAGCCACCCTGGTCCCACAAATCACCTTCATGACAAGCTGAGAGCTTCCATTTTTCCCGTGACTGTGCTTCCCGCTTAGACGTGAAGGCAGACTCAGCAATGTCCGTCTTAACCTCGCCCCGAGCTTGTGCCCACATCCATGGGTTAATTAAGCTCCGAGTAGGTGACAGACACTGACGAGAAAAAGGATGACCGAGGCACCTGGTGGAATGATGTGAATGTCGTACATATATATATATTTATTTATTTATTTATTCTTGTGGTGACTGAAAGATCTGAAAGGTCAGACTGCTCGGAATTTGTGTTTATTCACATCTAGGGCAGGATGATTGAATGCATGCTTTCAAATGATGCAACATCAATGCAACACAATTTCATTTTGTTGCAACCTATATCTATATATATATAGAGATATGGACTCCGGGAAGCCCTTCACCGCCCCCTTTGTACCCCACAGCTGAGGTCAAGAAGTCTTGGCTCTACAGGTGGGCGCGGGCACAGCGTATGTTGTCCAAGTACAGCGCCATGGTTTGTCATTTGTGATGTTTGTGACTAAGCCGCTAAGCCATGCTAAGCCTAGTAGCATGGTTTGGAAAAGACATGAAAAAACCTCAAGATTAGGATCAATGAACTGCCTGGGCAATTTACGGCCACCCTTGTCGTCGTTTTGTTTTAGAAAGTACAACTGGGCATGTCTCTAGGACTTTGCCTTTTCTGTCCCGGGGCCGGGCCGCCAGGGCCGGGCGGACTCTCAGTAGGATATTGCCTTGGCGATGCTTTATCAGGTTAAAAAAACCCTTTTTAGGATGTTACCTGAATGTGCTCACAGTTAGCAACATTTGGGGTCAGAACATCCAATACTGCTGCTGCAAACCGCAAAGGGTCAAACACGTTCCGTTCAGACCCAGAATAGGTGCAAAACGAGGTGGGTCTGCCCGTCTGCCCCGCCCGTCCCTCATGCATAACTCTCGGTGGTTAACCAGCAACGGTCCATCGAAAGGTCCTTCTGCCCGACGTCAGGCTGCAAAAGAGCACATCCTCAAGAGGCCAAAGAGCCATTCTCATTGGGTATGGGTCAAGAGGTCAAGCCCATGACACCACATGAAAACTTAAATGTCACCATCCATTCTTGGGACCCAACTTTGACCAACTCTGTACCGATACCTATTGAGCCCAGTCACTGGCAAGGGTATACTTTGATTACTTAAGCCAGATCTCTTACGCAGCCTTTGGGAATTACGAAACGAACCCTAGTATTATCGGCCTTTCAACAGCTGCCGAGCGTCGATCGTTGCAGCGTTTGAACATGACCATGAGTCGCTACGCCTTCAACCCCTTCCTGAGAACTTGTTTCATGGCCCCAAACTCCCAAAGTTCCCAACTCACCTCCTCGACATTAAGATCATATTAAGTTCATGCGATGTTATTCATATGTTATCCTTCTTGACAATTGTTAGCCCATGTCCATCCAGATATTCCAAGCCTAGGCCTATGCTTTAGGCAGGCAACAAAATGGTTTGGACCCACGGGTCTGCAGGTCCATTGCACCTTGGGACCACGCTGAGGCACTGTGAAAGATTTCAGTGCTTGTATTGGGGTGGAGGATTGATATTAGTGAACACCAAAGTGCACAAAAATGTGCACACCAGATTTTAAGTAGCACGCGCACACACACACATTGATAAGGTTCGCTACATCCATTTGTTGCTTGTTCACATTAGATTATTCAGCAAGCAGACTGCTTTTGGCAAGCTCTTTGGGCAAGTGCTGAGTTGTCTTTACTAGAGCAAGTTCTCAGCCACCCATCAGTTTGTTGCTTGGCGGGTCCAAGGCAGGTGTTCGAAATGATATTGAAATATATTATACATATCGCACATTATCACTTTGGAATGTTTGTTCATATCTTTATTTCATCTTATTTCATTATATAAATTATATATATATATATATTTCACGTTATTTCCTACAGGGTTCCCCCAAAATCACCCAGCATTGGTGGGGCGGAAACCCATGGAGGGTTGGCTGCCAGGTCAAGGGTACCGGTGCCGTTGAAGGCCACGATGCGCGGGTCAAAGGCGAAAAACCCATGGGTTGAGCGGAAAAGATGCGATATGAAAGCTTATATATATACACAGTATAATATATATTATTTTATCTAATATTGAATCATATATATATGTATCATACTGATATGATATCATATATAATCTTGTAAACAGATTCTTAGACGTCATTATATGACTGTATACAATGTATAGTATATGCTTATGGTAAACATAGACATTACAACCATATACTATTGAATGGCTTTTGGGCAACATAGATGTGACATGATATGACAATGTCATGGTTGTCCAGGGAAGATTATATAAGGAAGATAATCCAGAAGTACTACAAATACGACATATATTTACAGACGGGTATGCGCCGTTTCCTTTGTGTTGGGTTCGGGTGATAGGTGAGTGGCGTCAGGTGTATGCGGATGTACTATAAATTGAATCCATGAATAGGCGCAGTGTTTTGCGTCGTAATACTGGTTCACAGTTCACAGTGTTGACTGAGGCTGACAGGCATCACAACGGCAGCAATCGCAACTGCAGCAACTGTCATACGGCTAGAAGATTTGAAGACCAAACCGGATGGTTTGAATCTATTTGCTATTTGGACGCAGAGACACAAGGACATGTCCCGGTTGCTACTGTAGATGTGGAATAGTGAATACAACTCAGTTTCCCAGTTCAAGCATTCGAAGTCAAGTCACAAGTGATGAAATATTAGCTGGCCACCATGTCAAAAGGAGGAACGCTCCAAAATCTTGCTCCAAGTGCCAGCATTCGAAAGTCCCTCATGCACGTTTTGGTAGATTCATTCTGAAGGTCATCCCAAGGGAATGGAGTTGTTGCCCTATCAGATACCTCGCCTGGACGATCGATGCCGGCATGGGTTGGAAACTTAGGGTACTCATGCTGTTGCAATGATCCCCCAGCTTTGTAATTGGCAAGCTGGTACTGTTCATCATGGTACCAGGGTTTTGACTCATAGCCATGTGCGAATATGGAGTTCATTTCACTAGCCGCCTTGTTAGGCAACCCATTCAGCCAAGGCAAAGACTCATCAGCAGCGCCTAGAGAAGGAGCTGGAACAGCTTCGCAAGTGGAAGTTTGAGGCCCCTGGACCCTGGGTTTTCTGCGGATGGCCTATCACAAGCACAAGAACATGTGCCAACGCAGGGATGGGATCAGGTGGAAAAGAACAAATAAGTACATTACATTGTGCATAATTATGCTACCTGCTGGTGGTGTATATTAGTATATCCACCCTGCTTGGGGTTGAAAATTCAAATTTTGGGGAGGGGTGGCCAACCGCCAGCCAGCTTAATGTGATTTAGTGTGCGTACGTGTCATTCTTTGGCATTATTTGAGCTGTAATTGGTTATAATTGCAGATTTGATCGTGACCATGCATGTGTGAATTGAAGAATTCATATACGCGGAGGCCGCTGGTGCAGTGCAACGCATGGCCCTGGGGTTGAGGAGCTTACGAGATCAGCGCCTTGGCTGAAAAGCAGAGGGGATGATCATCAAAAACGGGGTTGCTGGAGGGGCAATCAACATAGCCGATAAATGTGTTCGGAAAATGAATTGGGCAAACCTTTGGGTATAGTTCAATGGCTCAATTTGTCGACAATAGGGGCTATGCACAAATTCAAATGCCCAACTATTTACCTGGAAGAGTTTCTAAGGATTGCCCCTGATGATAGGGATATGATGGGATATGACAATATGATCAGCAAAATTTGGGGATCTCTGCATTCTCTATCAAACCAAGCTGACAAGTGGATGATGATATTCAAGCATCAAGAAGTACATCATTTGATAATGGCTAGGTTGGATTAGCAAAGGGTACTGTTCCCGGATCTTGCATAACCATAACCCATGAGAAACCATGAGAAACCTCCGTCACAACTATATACTATATATTTTATATTAATTAATTAGCTAATGACTATTCTCATACTTGGAAGTTCCCGGCAAGAGGGACCCTCCACAACTCAATGCATCCCCGGGATTCTTCAGGTCACCCCGCCTTCAGGTGTTGAATTAATGTAGGAGATGAAACACTTTAGTATCTTTGTTGACCTGAACATATGCGTTGCTTCTTGGTACTTGTGTCTATTTGGATATTGTGTTGGTTTAACATGTTTATTTTGTTTTTGGTTGTCGTTTCCAAATTTCTACGCGCATTCTTGCTTTGAAACCCATTGTTTTCTCTTACAATCATATTTGTTTTGATATTATAATATCGTCATATCAATCCATATCATACTGTGGATGGAATAACTCCTTCACCAGTTGACAAGTGGTTTATTTATCATTATTTATCAGGTTCTACCATGCAAGGTGGCGCAGAATGAAGTTTCCATCCACAGTATGTCACGTTTGTGCCCTTTGAATCCTTCCCTTTGGCACAAACCCCAAGGTACATAGGGATTAAATTGATATGTAACCCCATGACAGAACAAATATCCATTAATCCCCTCTATCCATTGGTTCAATGGCCATTAATAACCTTTGGTGACATCAATGACATCATCCCCCAAGGTACGACCAGGAGATGAGGAAAAGTTTCGACCTGCAGGAGACCTGGCAACGTTTGGGCCAGGGGCCTAGTACCAAGGGATGACAAACATGGGGATATAAACTAACGTTATGTAACTTACACAATACAGCACCAGCAGGAACTTTATGTACAACGAAAATAAGGTTCCAACATGATACCCATACATATTACTGTAGACTGTAGGTCAATATATGCACTATACACCCATAAAAGCCTTGGAGAGGGCGATGCATAGAGAGAAAGACACAGAGAGAGAGAGAGAAAGAGAGAAAGAGAGAACGAGAAAGAGAAACAAATAGAATGGAGGATATGGATGTCCCTACTGGGATTTTTGACCCAGGCAATTTCCGTATGAGTGGTGTAGTTCTGCCGTTCTCCCTCAGGTCATCGTGCTGAGAACGCCGGCCTCGCTAACAGCTTTCCATCTGCACCTGGGCTAAAAATCAGTGGTCGAGGCAGTGATTTTCCTCCAAGGTTCAAGGCAGATGAAGAGGTAAGTTTTTTGTGCACGTC